CAGAATCACTTAAACCCAGGAAGCTGGGGCAGGAGAATCACTTGAACCTGGGAGGCAGAGGTTGCAGTGAGCTGAGATCACACCACTGCACTCCAGCTAGGGCAATAGAATGAGACTGTCTCAAACAAAACAAAACAAAACAAAAAAACAGATAAAAGAGGAAAAAAATGGATGACTGACAATAGCTAAGGTATGGAATCAACCTGAGTGTCCATCAATAGGTGAATGGAGAAAAAAAATGTGGCATATGTACACAATGAAATGCTATTCCGCCCTTAAAAATAAGAAAGTCTTGTTGTTTGCAACAACATTCATGAACCTGAACGATGTTATGCTAAGTAAAGTAACACAGAGTAACACAGTACAGAAAAAACAAAAACCTTATTTATTTATTTTTTTGAAATGGAGTTTCACTCTTGCCATGCTAGCTTCCAGTGCAGTAGTACCATCTCAGCTCACTGCATCCTACACCTCCCAAGTTCAGGCGATTCTCCTGCCTCAGCCTCCCCAGTACTTCAGATTACAGGCACGCACCACCTTGCCCAGCTATTTTTTATATTTTTAGTAGAGATTGGGTTTCACCATGTTGGCCAGGCTGGTCTCAAACTCCTGACCGCAAGTGATTCACCCACCTTGGCCTCTCAAAGTGATAGGATTACAGGCGTGAGCTACCACGCCTGGCCAAAAGCCTAGGTTTCTTGTTAGAAGAGAGACTGTGATAGTAAAAGCAAATATAATGATACATGTTACTCGGCTGCATTTCAAACAGGTGATAGTGACACTGCACTGAAGGACCAAAGGTGGTTCTTATCAATCAGGCCAGAGCTCCTTATGATACACGTTAGGCCCACTGGCATGTCTACAGGGTTCTGGCTGGATGGACAGAACCCGATGGGCTGTTGTGAGTAGACTCTGAATTTAAAACACCCTGTGCCCAGTAATGAGAACATTTTCACATTTAGCACAACGTGATTTGGTGTGTGGCTTGGATTTCATAAATCTTCACTGAGTTAATGGCTGATTGGATTTACCTGGCCTGAATGGAAAATAAAAATCACCTCTGGCCTACTCTTCAGCCTTTTTTTTTTTTTAAATACATATAGATTTAAGATAAGTGTCTAAATATACATATACACGGAAAATGGGTAACATAGGTATGTCAACGTATTTTCCATTATTGCATATGTCCTGTAGAGAAGCCTCAGAATAAACAGGTCAGAGGTCATTTTCCTTCCCAACTTCTGCAGCCCAGATGAGTTTAATGATCAGCTTAGATGGATATCAGGCAATTAGCTAAATTGGGAAAGTGAAGGCATCCAGGCAGGACCCAAATGGCAAATGTGAATCACATAGGCAAAGGGTGAGAAAGGAAGCAGGGCCCTGAAATGCTAAGCTGAAACTAGAGTCTTACATGGCTTTACCAAAACCTTACTTCCCAGGCCATGCACCTAAACGTGAAGCTTTGTTGATGTTTAAACATAACATTGTATGGCTGTGTTCCATTCTGAGATGGTATGGATCCATATAGGTGAGAGTAAGTTTATATCTGCATCCTCAGTGTAGGCTGGGGAATTTAAAATGTTTGTTGATTAATATCTTTTGTATACATAAATAACTACATAGGCAAACTCATATAATTCTTTATGTATGTGTCTATTTTATTTTATTTTATTTTATTTTGAGACGGAGTCTCGCTCTGTCGCCCAGGCTGGAGTTCAGTGGCGAGATCTTGGCTCACTACAAGCTCCACCTCCCGGGTTCACACCATTTTCCTGCCTCAGCCTCCCGAGTAGCTGGGACTACAGGCTCCCGCCACAACGCTTGGCTAATTTTTTAGTATTTTTAGTAGAGACGGGGTTTCACTGTGTTAGCCAGGATGGTCTCGATCTCCTGACCTCGTGATCC